AAAATCAAATATTTGATAGTGGAGTGGGAGTGAGGGTAAGCACCAAAAAGCATGAAGTTATTTTCCAGATAGCAGTTCAAAACATAAAAAATAATGAGTTTTGTCATGACTATTTAGTTTTTATAGAAGATATATCCACCCTCCCCAACCCTTTGCTTTATACTCTGCAGTGAACATGATGGTTTGTTGGTAGAAGATTATGATGAAACACTGAGGTCTCCATTGCAAACTCCTAATTTTGCTGTCTATTCATGTGAAAGCTATCTGAAAAATTATAAATGCCTCTTCCACGCCTCCGCTGTCTTCACTCTAAACATAATGGTGTAAATAAAAAAAGACTTAGAATATTATTAGTATTATAAAGTACAGCTCATCAAACAATGACAGGAATCTACCATTCAAGTATGTCATCTAGTTCAAATTAATTTTCATGAAAGATAATCCGGTGGAGAAGAATGTCAGGTAGCATTATCCTTTTAGAGGTAAGACATACGGAGTCACTAATAAACTGTTTTTTCTCCTGAATCATATTTTTTTCAAAAGGTTAAGTTCTATCATACATATAATTTAAATTTACTGATTAGCTAATACTCTAGAATAAGTCAGCTTTTGCAAATGTACATTCATTGAAAGAATATTTCATTCAATCAGCTAAAAAGTATCAAGATTTTAAAGAAATATTAACCTCCTAAAATTTAATTTTGGGAGAAAACCAGTTTAAATTGTTTTTATTTCTCTTCATCTTTTAAAGGCACAATCTTAAAAGTATTAAATGTTCATGATTTCAGTCTTGCAATGGATTCTAGACAAGCATATACCTAGGTCTAAAGAACATCCCATAGGAATCCAAATTTTTCCTTCATAAAAATTATTTTAGAAGTAATATTTGGGGGTGGAGGAACAGAGAGAACACTTTTGGCACGAAGCAAACCTATTTGCCACCTACTGATTTTTATTAAAATCACTGAAGAAAAAATTACACAGAAAAGTAAAATACATTTAAAAACCATTAGGTATTACAATGATGTACATAAAGCATTAGTAAGGCATTTATCTAGACTGATGAAGAGACATTGTTAATGGAGAAGACCTACTTTTTTTTCCTGAGGAGTAATAAAGCTACAGTGTCCTAATTGAAACTATTCCCATTCTGGTTTATGGTGACTCCTACGAAATAATTCACCAGAGAAGTTACATTTAGCTTACATTATAACAGTTTAGCTTATATTTCATACTACCAACATTTATTTAAACTTACTGTTACAACCTTATAAATGTTATACATAGATCAGATACGTGCAGGTTAAATAAATATGTGTTTACGCTGGGATTTCATTGACAGAAGCAAATACCTTTTTACCTCCTGACTTTTTTTCTGTCCCATAAAAGAGGGAAAAATGTAAAGTCCTAAAACCTTACTGCTCTTTGGAAGCTGTGAAAGATTTGGACGTGGAAGTCTGTGTCTCTGTACTTCCTTTGAGGAACTCTGAAAATTCCTGCTTTTGGGGTCTCTATTTAAGGGTGCTATCAAGAGAAAAATGCTTTATTCTTTTCACATCACACATTCTTTGTTACGGCTTTTTCCCATTATTACAATTCACTGTTAACTAAGTTTAATTCTTTCACTGGCAGTATAGCTATCACTGTACAACAGAGACACAAGTGAAAGTCTATAAAACACACAGCCCACTGACATAAAGTACCGAAATACTAAGCTAGATCTGAAAAAGCTCATATGCCTGTATTCACAGTGCAATTCGTACAGAAGGTAGCGCGGCTCCCAGAAGCAATGCACATTGAATCGCAATTAACCCTGGCCCTCAGGCAATTCAATGGGCTGTAGTGCTGGGCAGACGCTGCTGTAAACCTTCTGCTTTTGGAACCAACCTGCATCCTCTGCATCGTTATAAGTTGCCTTGTACAAACATATCCTTAAACTCAATCTCTGTACAGATGTATATACTTTCCTTAACATTTGAAGCTACATCTGTATCAGTATGAAGTAAAGAGTACCGGTGCTTGTTCTCTGGCCGGAGGCTGGTAGACAGTGGCCACGTCTCTGCTCTTGTGCTCTGCTGCCCTCCAGACCCGGCTGAATTTCTCTGAACTGCTCATCAGGAATGGTCCTGCTGCCCATGCTAACCCCTGAACCACGCTCTGAACAATTCCTGTGGATGGGCTACTTGGTTCAAATGAAAAACTTGTTGGAGAACCTTCTTAATTAGTAGAGGCATTTAAGTTCCCATGCCCAGGCACTGCTTAGTTTAAAAATATAGGTACATTTAATTCAAATGCAGAAATGAGTGTTTCAAATTTTTCTCTTTACCTAAAATCGCTATTATATGGTAATGCAGTTTCGATCCCCAGCTTCACAATAACACAGTATCAGTATCGTGACCCATCATATCATAAATTGATGGCCAGGGTTGTATGGAATATTTGTACTGGTGCAGAACTGAACTCAGGTCTTCTGAGACCTATGTCCACGCTCTAATCAGTACACCATTTTGCAATGAAACTGCATACCAAAAAGTAACTACTCAAAATAACCCTTTTCCATTCTACTGATATCTACCTATTTTAGCAACCATCTTGATTACCAGCAAGAGCAGCTCTTTCTTTAAATAATCTCTATACGCATAAAAAAGTATGGAATTATGTTTTATGACTGTAAAAATCCTCTGGAATAAAAAAAAAACTAAACTGTAATAGTTCAAAGGTAAATTACAATTTATCAATCATATTTAAAACTTTTCTGTATTAGAAATTTTATCCTGGTGCAACTAGGACTCCTTGCTGTACTCACATATATCCACAGTACAGGCGCATGTTTAGTAGCCTGCATTTAATATTATCCATGTTTGGTTTACCTCAGTACTATAGCATTAGAAATTGGCCATGTGCGGCTTAAACAGTACACATACCTCTACAGTGAGATTTCATTAACAAACCCACAAAACTAGGAGAAATTTGCATGCAAACATGTATTATTGGATTTTTTTTCCAAGCTATAGGACAAGATTCATATTGTTTGTCTACCAAACTTAGTTTCTTGTGATCTCAAAACTTCTTTTGCAAGAATCTTCCTCTATGCAATTTATATTTTTAGTCTATTCTCTGGTGGGATTTTTGATTTTTGTGTGGTTTTTTGTTTTTTTGTTTTTTTGTTTGGGGTTTTTTTGTGTCTGGGAATGAAGTTTCTTGCCCTTTTACTTCTTTTCTAGGGCTCTAGATGGTAAATACAAACAGGTTATACTTATAGTACCATGGCTAAAATAACATGAATGGTCAGAATCAGTGAAAATAAAAGTTACAATAGTGCTTATGAAGCCATTAAGATTTAAAAAATTTCCACATTCATTTTCAACTACATTTCATTCATTTTCAATCAGTTTGCTCCTACATTAAACTAGCAGAGAAAAAGATAGAGGTGTGTAAATATGAAGACTGAAAATGATATATTTGAAGAAAAATGATATAATTCTTGGGATGAGTGGCAGTACTTTCCAAAATGTTTCATCCTTAACCGTTTGCATTGAAAGCCACAGGAAAGCATAGGTGGCATTGGTGGTTTGCCCTTGGTTTAACTCTTTTTATCATAAATGTTTGAAAATAGAATTGTTTGGATTAGAATATTTCCAACTTTTTCTTTTCCCAAAAATGACTTTTTTTTTCTGGTTTAATTTTGTTCAGGTAAGAAAATAAAACACCATTAAAACCATTAACTTTGGTGAAGCAAATTTTTTTGCTATTTAAATTTTGAATAATTGACAAAGCTACTTACAGGGTTTAACTACCTTAAAAGAAAAAAAAAAGTTTTATTTATGTTCCTTAAAACTAGTGAAAATAAAATAATGACAATGGCTGAAATTAAAGCTTTGAAGCAGAGGTCTGAATTTATGTTATTAGGAAGTTCGGTTCTATACTGTTAAGCTAGATCAGATGATAATGAATACAAGACAGAGCTTTGACTCACCCTCACAAGATCGGAAGTTACTCTGTTGTGCTTCTAATGTTTAAAAGCACCAAGTATAACAAGAATGCATATGTTATACTGTACAACTTCTTAGATTTCAATGATCATAAGCCATTAAATATTATCAGTTCTTTCAATTTTTAAAAATATTTTATGTGTGCATTGAGCATTGTATAGGTATTTGTTTTGGTGATCTACATTACTGTTTCAAGTCTGTCTGACTTTTTGAATTTACTGACATGGATACACATGCAACCTAATTCCCACTGAATGAGGGTTATCAGTTTCCAATACCTGGATTTGCAAGAGTTCTTCTTTTGCCTTTCACTGCTCCTAGGATACAAAGGAGCTTAACTGCACACCTTACTTTCAGCCTGGCAAGAGGGCACGGTAGCATTATTATGCTTGTTCAATACCTTTGGATCAAAAGATTGTCTATAGATCTGAACTTTTCCCTAGTTTCATGCTTCTAACAGCTTTCCATTGATAACAAAACATAAACCTGGTTTCTAAATTAACTCTGATACACAGAAC